TGCTGTAGACGTCCTGCAGCTGTAATTTTACCGCCGCTTTGACCGAACGAGCCAGACGATTTCTACTCGACACAGAGAGAGCGCCGAACCAACAGACAATAGAAAATGCAAGAATAGATTCAATCAAACTCATTTAGATCATATCAGCCTCGGAACCGTCAATCTCGACTGAGCGAAAGTTAAAAGGTACAGTGGAGGAAAGAAGTATTTGATCCAGGTTTGAGAAATGAACAGTCTATCATTTTAATTAACATAGAGAGAGGTAGAATATCAAAAAGAAAATCCAGAAAATAACTTAATAACTTAAAAAAAAACTGATTTGCATTTAGAGGTGTAGCCGTTAAATCGCTTCATGACATCACAAGGTGGAACGAAGCATTTTGAGCTTTGGAGATGTAGATGTAATACAGATCTCTGCTTCAAATAACTTCCTATAACTGCTAGCCTCATGAGCTTCATTTGACTGGAGCCGAACCATAGAAAATAAGAAACAAAAAAAAACTGAATTTAGAATTTAAATCAGGACATAAACCAGGATTAAACCAAGGAATTAACCAGGATTTAAACCAGGACAAAACCAGGACTATAGTAGGATTTAACCAGGATTAGACCAGGACTTAAAACAGGACTAAACCAGGACTAAACTAGGACTAAACCAGGACTAAATGAAGACTAAAGTCAGGACTATACCAGGTCTTAAACCAGGACTTAAATGAGTACTAAACCAGGACTACGTCAGGATTAAACTAGGACTGAACCAGGTCTAAACCAAGATTAAACTAGGACTAAATCAAGTCTAAACCAGAACTAACCCCAGGACTAAACCCAAGACTAAACCCAGGACTTAAACCAGGTCCAAACCATGACCTAAACCAAGAATAAACAAGGACTAAACTCAGAACCAAACCAGGACTAACGCAGGACTAAACTCAGAAATAAACCTGGACTTATAACGGGACTAAACCAGTACTAAAGTAGGACTAGGCTTGGATTTACCCAGGAGTAACCCCGGGACTAATAATAAAGAATTACTCAAAACTCCAAAACACAACTCCAGGTCTGTTTTGAGGGGGTAACTGTATTAAAACATGACTTAAAACCTCAAGAGTATTCTGGTGTAATATAGGACCTTTAAAATGTTTGTATTAACCCACTTTATGTGATCCTGGTGTTTTTATTTCACTATTTTGTCCAGAAGGAAATTTCTATTCCTAATATAGATCTCTGCTTCAAATTCACTCCTTATAACTGCTAGCCTCTTGAGCTTCATTTGACTAGAGCTGAACCATAGACAGTACTAGTATTATTCATAATCATAAAAACTCAAGAAATAAACTTAGGCTTAACTGTCTGAAATGAGAAACAAAAAATACTGAATATTTTCATGATATTCACATTTTTTGAGATGGACTAGTGTAAAGAAGCAGACTAAGTGTGAGCGTGACACCACCTATAGTGTACAGCTTCAGTCAAATGAAGCTCACTGAGGCTGCAGATAGGAGAGAATTTGGAGCCAGTTCCATATAAGGAACATTTATTTATTTACAGACAAAAACACCAGGATCATGCAGAGCGGGTTAATACAAACGTATATGGCATAAAACTGACTCTTGTGACATTATAACACCGTTACCTCCTCAAAAACAGACCTGGAGTTGTGTTTTGTTTCATTCACACATGTTTGAGTAATGTTTTATTATTAGTCTGTTTACATCTCCAAAGCTCAAAATGCTCTGTTCCACCTTGTGATGTCATGAAGCAGTAGTTTGAGTGTTCAGAAGAGATTGGCAATTCGAAGGCTGAAATCATCCAAATGATTCTAGTGAAGAAGAATGGAATTTAAGACTACATTTATATGATGATGGTCTGAACAGAAGACGTAAAAGTGGCGTTGCGTCTTTACTTTCAATTCCGCGTTTAGATGAGCATTTTCAGGAGGAAATCTGCGTGCATACAGTGGAACTGGACTGGCGGCGAGGTGGTGACGTTAGGTGGCGAATGTATGTAAGATAAACACATACGCAACGTGAGCAGATCTGACCTGAGTTTTGCGTCTTGGGCAGTGTAGACGGAAACACTACGGCGGCAACTTTTCCACTCTGGAAGGTGATTGTGGATTTTTGAGATTTTAAGCTCCAAAAACGCCGCCACCGTTAGGGCTGGGTATCATTAAGAAGTTACCGATACGATACATACCTCGATACAGATACGATACATACCTCGATACATGGGCCACGATACGATACATATCTCGGTACAGTGAGGTTTCGATTTAAAACGATTCGATACTACGTATTTCAAATTGACACGATATGATTCAATAAAAAATAAAGGCTAAATCATGACTATGATAGTAAAAGTCTTTGTTAAACCACTTCTTGTGCAAAGTTCATATGAAACACAAACATTTTAATCATCAAAACTGTGAAAACGTCAAATGTGTCGCATAAACACGCCACAAAACTGTAGCGCTGTAACAAAATAATTTAATAAAATACACCAAAAAATACTCTTGGCGATGTATATATACAGCTGCCCACAATATCGATACTGTATCATCACATTAAACGATACGATATATTGATACTTTGATATTTTTGCACACTCCTAGTCACCGTCTAAACGAAAGGCACTTCCCATAAAATATTTTGTCATTTTTACCTGCAAGTGTTCTCGTGTAAACGGACCCTAAAAGACAAAAATTGCTCTCTTCCTTTATCACCACATGACATCACAAGGTGGAACAGAGTGTTTTCTATTTGAGAGAAGTGTAAATCTGCAGGGCGTGTGTGTGCTAAACATGCGTGAATGAAACAAAACACAACTCCAAGTCTCCAAAATGACGAGGCTCACAGCAGCAGTTACAGAGACATACGCGACAAATTTTCAATGTTAAGTCAATTGGATCCAGAGTTGATGGAGCCAGACGCGCCCCCATACTCACTTCCTATTTATAACCATTTATATAAACAGTCTGTGAGCCAAACTCTGTAGGTGACGCCACACTCCCATAGTCCACAGTCTTTCCATTCCTCTGTGTACTGTGTCATGTGTCTGTATGTTCTCCTCATGTATGCACACCTCCATCTGAAACTCTGCATACATGAGCTCTCGGAATGGCATGTCTATTAAAGCAATAATGTTTTTTGTTTTTTTTGGCCTAATCCTGTCCGTTACATTGTTTGTTTCAGATGCTGCACTGTAGTTCAGTTTTCGGATAGACCAGCGGTTCTCAAAGTTACACAATCTTGGCAAAATAAAAGACAAAAAGACAAGATATTTACCAGACATTATCTATATATAGAGAGAGTGAGGTCTAAACTGGGTCTAAAATCAAGACTAAACCAGGACTGAACCAGGATCAAATCAGGACTGGACCAACAATAACTCTGTACTAAACAGTTATCATTTCAATCATCTCAAATTTATATCCAGACCAAAGCAGGTTTACATCAAGATGAGAGACTAGAATCATAGCATCAATACTAACTACAGAAGCAAGTCTAAACCAGGACTAAATCAGGACTAAAACCACGACTAAAGCAGGACTAAACCAGGATTTAAACCAGGAGTTAAACCAGGACCAAACCAGGGCTTAAAACAGCACTAATCTTGGACTAATCTTGGACTGAACCATGTCTAAACCAAAACAAAAACTAGGAATAAACCAGGACGAAACCAGGATTAAACCAAGATTGAAAACTGGATTAAACTAGGACTAAACTAGGATTTAAACCAGGACTAAACTAGGACCAAATCAGGACTGAGCCAAGACTAAATGAGGACTTAAATCAGCACATAAACCAGGATTAAATCAGGACTAAACTAGGATTTAAGCAGGACTAAACCAGGAATAAAGCAGGACTAAATCAGGACTAAACTAGGACTGAACCAGGTCTAAACCATGACCAAAACATGACTAAACCCAGGACTTAAACAAATACCAAATCAGGACTAAAACCAGGACTAAATCAGGACTAAAACCAGGATTTAAAACAGGACCAAACCAGGTCTTAAAACAGGACTAAACCAGGAGTTAAACCAAGACTAAACCAGGACTAAACCAGGACTAATCTCGAAATGAACCATGTCTAAACCAAGACCTAAACCAAAACCAAAACTAGGAATAAACCAGGATTAAACCAAGATTTAAAGCAGGATTAATCTAGGACTAAGCCAGGATTTAAACCAGGATTAAGACAGGATTTAAACCAGGACTAAACTAAGACTAAATGAGGGTTTAAATCAGCACATAAACCAGGATTAAACCAGGACTAAACTAGGTTTTAACCAGGTCTAGACCAGAATTTAAACCAGGTCTTAAACCAGGACTAAAATGAGTACTAAACCAGTGCTAAATTGCGATTAAACTAGGACTGAACCAGGTCTAAACCAAGATTAAACCAGGACTAAACCAGGACTTAAAACTAGTACTAGACCAGGACTAAAACCAGGACTGAACCAGGTCTAAACGAGCTCTAAACCAGGTCTAAACGAGATCTAAACCAGGTCTAAACCCATGATTTAAACCAGTAATAAACTAGGACTGAACCAATCCTAAACCAAGATTAAACCAGGACTAAACCAGGACTTAAAACTAGTACTAAACCAGGACTGAGCCAGGACAAAACCAGGAATAAATCAGGATTAAAACTAAACCACAATTTACCAAATCTAAACCAAAACAAAATAATAACGAGCTAAATTAGACTCAAAACAGCCTAGAATTAATTGCGATTTGATGTAATAACAAACCATCACACATACACACTTCCAGTTGTACTTGCACCATTATTTGAGAACCCCTGTGCTAACCTCCCTCCTGTACAAAAACCTCTAGCCTTCCACTTTGTTTTCAAACCTCGTAACATTCTCTTTATTTCCCCGCTGTCCTGCCCAGGCGTGTCATAGCCATTCTGTTTATAGCGTCTGTCTCACCTGTCCGAATAAATCCACTTCCTGACATGTGACTCTGTGTGCTGTTCCGATTGGTCGGCCAGGTCGTCGGGGGAGACGAGGAGAGGGGACACGCTGGAGCTGAACATGAGCAACATCACGGCGGAGGTGCTGGAGCAGCTTCTGGAGTTCGTGTACACCGGCTCCCTCGTCATCGATTCGGCCAACGCCAAAACTCTCCTGGAGGCCGCCAACAAGTTCCAGTTCAACACCTTCTGCAAAGTCTGCGTCTCATTTTTAGGTACGAAAAGAATATTTTTATAAAGTTCTATATTACGGTATTTTCTGATCTATGTTCTAATGTTGTTTCCTCATCGCAAACAGACCTGGAGTTGCGTTTTGTTTCATTCATACGTTTAATTTAACGCTAAAACTCCGCAGTTCTTGTCTCAAACTGAAAGCCGTTCCCGTTTGTGACGTCATGTGGTGATACAGGAAGTGCTCCACTGTGTTTTTAAACTCCAATCACCGTCACTAGGATCATTTGGATGCTTTCAGACCTGGAATTGCGCATCTCTACTCAAATAACTTACCTTTGGAGATGTAGACAGACTAAAAATAAAGGGTTGTGAGTGTGTGAATGAAACAAAACACAGCTCCAGGTCTGTTTTTGATAAAGTAACATCCTTGTTTTTTGGTAGTTGCTAATAATACATTTGTGAAACGAGTGCGTGATTAAAAAATTGTTATGCAGAGACAATTCATGACTAAGTCAGTGTAGTCACACTTTCTTTGTGTTTTGGTTGTTTTTTAAGATGTATTTTACCGCAACAAATATCGTATTTTTCGGACTATAAGATGCACTTAGAATCTTTTAATTTTCTCAAAAATTTACAGTGCACCTTATAATCCAGTGCATCTTATGTGTTAATTCTGGTTGTGCTTACTGACCTCGAACTGATTTCATGTGGTACACGACGCTCAAAAATCTGTCAAAGTCTGTTTAGTACGAGTCTGGTAAACTACGAAGCCGCACCGCTTGATGGATTGTTGGACTTTTACGACGACCCTAGTCAGGAGCCTCGGTAGTTCGACAGAAACTGAACCACATCAGTGCACAAGGAGCGAGCTGTTTTTCAGCGCTTATAGTTTATGCAAATGAGCCATGTGGTTTTAAGTTTTGTTTCTGTAAAACGTAAACAAATGTGCGCAAAGCTGAATTAAACACATTATTACTCAATGTGTATTTGAGTCGTCCTCATAGGAAATAAAAAAACAAACTTCACACATTCACATTCATAAACCACAATCACCAAGACAGGGAGGCAACACCGGGTGAATTACACCACGATCTGCCAGTGGATCGTGGACGCCTGGACTAAGGATCAGTCTCAAGTGTCGTCCGTTTGTTTCACTTAATGTGTCTTATAATCCAGTGCACCTTATGTATGAAAATAGATGCGAGAATTCAACATTATTGGTATTGCGCCTTATTATCCGAAAAATATGGTAACAATTTCATCCTCTCTTTACTGCTTGCAGGGATCAAAGTGGTGAAAAATAGGAATATCTGGGACATTTCTTGTATTAAACTGGGACTAATCAATGGTTTTGGGACACAGGGCTCAAAACTGGGACTGTCCCGCGTAAATAGGGACGTCTGGTCACCCTATATGATTAAAAGCTCACAAGAATCCATTCCGTGAAATATAGGGCTTTAATCTGGAGAGGTATAAAAGAATGATCAATAGTTTCCTCTACTGACCAACTTTAAGTAAGTAAAAGTTTAATTACAATCTGCTTTCAAGGAGTAAAGAACCATTAAATGCAATTTAAATAGAAGCAGGATTAAACCAGGACAAAGACAGTACTAAAATGGAAATAAACCAGGATTTAAACCAGGACTAAAACAGGACTGGATCAGGTCTGAACCAGGACTTAAACCAGGACTAAAACTGGGACAAAACTAAGACAAAACCAGGTCTAAACCAGGACTTAAGCCAGGACTAAGGTAGGACTGAACCACATCTAAACAAGGACTTAAACCAGCACGAAGACAGAACTGAACCAGGACTTAAACTGGAACAAAACTAGGACAAAAACCAGGTCTAATCCAGGACTTAAACTAGGACTAAGACAAGGCTGAACCAGGTCTGAACCAGGATTTAAACCAGAATTTAAACCAGGACAAAAGCCAGGTCCAAACCATGACTTAATCCAGGACTAAGATAAGACTGAACCACGTCTGAACCAGGACTTAAACCCAAACTTAAAACAGGACAAAACTAGGACAAAACCAGGTCTAAACCAGAACTTAAACCAGGACTAAGACAGGACTGAATCAGGTCTGAACCAGGACTTAAACCAGGACTAAAACTAGGACAAAACTAAGACAAAACCAGGTCTAAACCAGGACTTAAGCCAGGACTAAGGCAGGACTGAACCACGTCTAAACGAGGACTTAAGCCAGCACGAAGACAGAACTGAACCAGGACTTAAACTGGAACAAAACTAGGACAAAAACCAGGTCTAAACCAGGACTTAAACTAGGATTAAGACAAGACTGAACCAGGTCTGAACCAGGACTTAAACCCAAACTTAAAACAGGACAAAACTAGGACAAAACCAGGTCTAAACCAGAACTTAAACCAGGACTAAGACAAGACTGAACCAGGTCTGAACCAGGACTTAAACCAGGACTAAGACAAGACTGAACCAGGTCTGAACCAGGACTTAAACCAAGATTAAGACAGGACTGAATCAGGGCTTAAACTGGGACAAAACGAGGACAAAAACCAGGTCTAAACCAGAACTTAAGACAAGGACTAAAACAAGACTGAACCAGGTCTGAACCAGGACTAAAACCAGGACAAAACTAGGAAAAATCTAGGACAAACCAGGCCTAAACAAGAACTTAAAGGTGCATTGTGTAACTTTTCTGGTGTAGGGTCCGTTAAACGTTTTTCTTCATGTAGATGTTATTGCTTTGTCTGTAATGTTTCACAGTATGTCATTAACCCTATCTATCTCCATGGAAACCAAACCAAACCAAGTTACAGGTCAGATCTGTGGAGAGGCGACTCCGCTTACAGTCAGAATATCTGTTTTTCTCAGTATTTTGGAGCTATAAAACCACCTGTAATTGATTAAATGTAAAGTAGAGCTGTTTAATGTCACACTGTGGAACATTCCAGAGCAATGACATCCAGAAAAATTACACCGTGCACCAGTCATAGTATAAAATCTTAAAATCTCTTGGAAAGTCCAGAGTTTGGCTGTTAAAAATAGTGAAGTACAAAGTATTCACGAGTACAAGGACCTGTACTGTGGAGGTGTTCATTACTCTTTGAATCTTCCAATAGGTCCTATATTTGAAAGTGTTCCAAATCCACTGTGTTGCCAGGTTGTGGGGGTTGCCAGGTTGGGGCCAGCTGTTGTGTCCAGACTCTTAATGAGCTCAGCAAGTGAATCAAGAGGACAAATAAAGTTCTATTGATTTATATATTGATTACTCCCCCTAATGGCGGTGGACTTTGTTCTGTCTATTGTCCTGGTTTAGTCCTGGTTTAATCCTGGTTTAGTCCTATTTTAAGTCCTGGTTTAGTCCTGGTTTAGACCTGGTTTAGTCCTGGTTTAGTCCTGGTTCAGCCTTTGTTTAGTTCTGGTTTAGTCTTGGTTTAGATTTAGTTCAGCACTCGTTTAGTCCTGGTTTAATCCTGTCTTGGTTTAGTCTTTGTTTAGTCCTGTCTTAATCCTGGCTTAGTCCTGGCTTAGTTCTGGTTTAGTCCTGGTTTAGTCCTGGCTTAGTTCTGGTTTAGTCTTGCTTTAGTCTTTGTTCAGTCCTGATTTAGTCCTGGTTTAATCTTGGTTTAGTCTTTGTTCAGTCCTCGTTTAGTCCTGGTTTATTCCTGACTTAGTCCTGACTTAGTCCTGGTTCAGTCTTGGTTCAGTCATGGTTCAGTCTTTGTTTAGTCCTGGTTTAGGCTTGGATCAGTCTTGGATCAGTCTTTGTTTAGTCCTGGTTTAGTCCTGGTTTAGTCTTGGATCAGTCTTGGATCAGTCTTTGTTTAGTCTGGTTTAGTCTGGTCAGTTTTTGTTTAGTCCTGGTTTTAGTCTTGTTTAGTCTTGGTTTAGTCTTGGTTTAGTAGTCTTGGTTCAGTCTTGGTTAGTCTGGTTTAGTCTGTTTCAGTTTGTTTAGTCCTGGTTTAGTCTTGGTTCAGTCTTGGTTTAGTTCTGGTTTAGTCTTGTTTCAGTCTTGGTTTAGTCCTGGTTTAGTCTTGGTTCAGTCTTGGTTTAGTCCTGGTTTAGTCTTGGTTCAGTCTTGGTTTAGTCCTGGTTTAGTCTTGGTTCAGTCTTGGTTTAGTCCTGGTTTAGTCTTGGTTCAGTCTTGTTTAGTCCTGGTTTAGTCTTGGTTTAGTCTTGGATCAGTCTTGTTTATCTTGTTTTTAGTCTTTTAGTCTTGTTCAGTCTTGTTTAGTCTGGTTTAGTCTGGTTTAGTCTTGGTTTAGTCTGGTTTAGTCTTGGTTCAGTCTTGGTTTAGTCTGGTTTAGTCTTGTTCAGTCTTGGTTTAGTCCTGGTTTAGTCTTGGTTCAGTCTTGGTTTAGTCCTGGTTTAGTCTTGGTTCAGTCTTTGTTTAGTCCTGGTTTAGTCTTGGTTCAGTCTTGGTTTAGTCCTGGTTTAGTCTTGGTTCAGTCTTGTTTAGTCCTGGTTTAGTCTTGGTTCAGTCTTGGTTTAGTCTTGGTTGTTTCCTTGTGACATGTGTGGATGAAACAAAAACATGTCCTAAAAGCTCTGGAGAGTGGACTTTGTGTAATGTGGGACCTTCAAATGTTCTGATTGAAATGTAACACTCTAAGCCCGACACTCTTCCCAGTGTTGGGGACCCACGTGTGTATTTACTGGTTGAATGTGGCACTTGCCCGTCCTCCCGGCTTTAACTCTGCTCTGTGTGAATGTGACTGCGCTGTGATCCCGTCGGGCCGAGCTCAACGCCGCGCCGCACTGCCACAAAGGTCAACGCACTATTGTCGTTTAAATGTCACATCCTCTGGACTCGACCATGATGGCATCACAAAAAGACTAAACGGATTGATACATACGCACACACACACACACACACACACACACACATATACACACACACAAGGGTGAAAACTGGAGCTAAAAATAGTAGATGTTTCCTGTCTACTGTTCTGGTTAGTCCTGGTTTAGACTTGGTTTAATCCTGGTTTAGTCCTGGTTTAGTTCTGGTATAGACTTCTTTTAATCCTGGTTTAGACTTATTTCAGTCCTGGTTTAGAC